AGAGAGAGAGAGAGAGAGAGAGAGAGAGAGAGAGAGAGAGAGAGAGAGAGAGAGAGAGAGAGATGGGATAAGTAACTTGTTTTTGGCAAAATTGGTATGACGATAACAGTCCACAGCAAGGACTTGGACGATAACAATCAAAATCAGACAGACGATACATCTATGGTCCAGAAGCCTGCCTGTCACCTGAGTGCATTGGGACTGAAATCTGTCCAGTGCCCCCTGCTATCTTCCACCGTCGTGAAGCAATTTGTTATGTGCCTGGTTGTGACACTTGGCATTCCGTAGCATACGGATCGCAGTCCGGATACGCCTCCTGATTCGGTTGATCGAGCTCTGAATACTGGAAACAAGCGCATCTGGAAGTGGTACCTCCCGTAATGAAAACTTTCCGGGGATAGCCAGAGGTGCACGAGACCTGCACAGACGCGAAAAGAGCGTCAGCGGAGTGCATCCGATTCACTAAAAAATCAGAAGGCAGATGCATGCATCATCATGGCAAAAGAACATGACATGATCAGTCTTCATATCGACCTCATAAGCGGTTAACAGGGAGCCCCCCTTTTCAGCCCCAGTTAACCCCCTCAACCCCGAAAAGTGCATCGAAAATTGAGGCCTCCATTAACCACCTCTCATCAACCTTGGGCCTCGCGCCACTACTCACCAACGCACAAAAGACAAAAATTACGGCGGCGTATCATTCTATGTTCTAGTGGAAGATTCAACCTCATTTTGCATTCTATGTTCTAGTGGAAGATTCAACCTCATTTNCATTCTATGTTCTAGTGGAAGATTCAACCTCATTTTGCATTCTATGTTCTAGTGGAAGATTCAACCTCATTTAGACAAGCAAAAAATTTAAGAAGCTGAGTTAACTGGGTCGCCCAAATGGACCCGTCGGCTCGGGCGACTCAGGCAGGACTGCATAGGGGGGTCGCCCGCCCGGGGTAGAGCCATTTTTTTTTTCTTCTTTTTGAGGGGGAAACCGTTTTTGCGCTCGCCTACATCTGATAAAATCCACTGTTTACTCCCCACCAGTCCCTACAACTACGGCAGTTTCTCAAAGCACTGGAAATGGTGCTGCAATATGCAGTCCCCAGAGTGGAGGGCTTCTGCAGCAATCCCTGATGATTGCCGTCTTCCACCGGATTGAACATACGGTCATCATCGCCTTACATGGACTGAAAGTTGTCTCGTTTACTCCCACCGGTCCCCACAACCACGGTAGTTTCGAAGCACTGGAAATGATGCTGCAATATGCAGCCCCCAGGGTCGAGGGCGTCTGCAGCAATCCCTGATGACGATTGCCGTCTTCCACCGGATCGAACATACGGTCATCATCGCCTTACATAGACTGAAGGTTGGCCGAAACACAGCCATAATGACCATACGACGCATACGTTCTCTTCTGGGGAAGACAGTACTGGCCAAAATTCTACCCCATTCGAGAGCAACCCACACACTGGCTCATGCACTGGGAGATCTGCGCAGGTAGTAAATCACTGACTGATTGGACACAACCCATTCAGTTGGTGGTGTAAAAAAAAAAAAAAAAAAAAAAAAAAAAAAGAAAGAAAGAAAGTAAGAAGAAGAAGAAGATGTACACCAGCAAGACCAATGACAAATCCTCCTGTCTCCATTTTCCTCCTCGTCGTCGTCTCCGCCAATCTTCTTCTCCGCCAGAGAGTTATAATAATAACAATTGAGTGGTTGAACCAGAATCGATATCCAAAGTTCCCTCTTACCGCCAGCACAACAATAGGTCCATCCTCCGAGGCTATGGCGGACTACTAAGGGCCCTGGCCTCCTGTGCAAAAGGCAACACAAAGCAGCTATGGCCGCTGCTCGTCAGGCCGCCATGCTTGACTCTGCCTCGGAGCTTCCTTGGTGCGGCATTACCCCCACTGGGCCTTCCAGGTGCAGCGCCTAACGAGGTGATGAAGACGGTGTTCACCATGGCCAGGTAGAAACCTCGCCACTCTCGTCCTTCACCCCCTTCTTCCTCCTCCTCGAGCTGGGCTGCTCGCCATAGCCAGGCTGCGCGCCCAGCTCTCCTCCTTACTCAAAGGCAGCGTTCTGAGCACCAGAGCCCGCTCAAGCAGCATGACGCCCAAACTTGCATACCGCAAATGAGGTAGAGCCCAGCGCTCTACCTGGAGATATAGCGGCCTACTTGCCTCTTGGCCGGTGACTTCCAGGCCGTGCGGCCTCCAAGCAACCGGTACCTCCTCCCTTTGGGAGGGAAACATCATTGCAGGCCCTGATATCGTTCGCACAGTCCCTAGACTCAGGCTACTTGGTACCCGCCAACTTCTAGCCTACCGCTACTGGCCCACTAAAAATGCCTTTTGTCTTCTTCTGTTTGGCCTTCAGTTCCCGACACATCTACCGCTACTTGAGTGGTACCGGCCTACCTGCTACTTGAGTGTTTTTTGGCCCCCGCTGCCCTAAGTGCCGCGGTCCGACTCCCCACTACTTGAGTATTTTCCCCGCCGCAACCCTCAGAGTCACGGCCACAGGTAAGTACCAGCCCCGCGGGCCTCACAACACAGACAGGCAGACGTGCACTCCGACACGCACACGGTCCAGCAAGCACGCACACAAACACACAAACTTAGAAAAGTCAGCACAACGCGGGAATCTCA